GCTCAATTTGAAACCCTTAGACTCGAGGGTCTATCTCCAAACCTCCAATCTCTCGTCAACACCGACCCTCGTCTCATCAATTAGAACTATGTCATCAGCAAATAACATGCACCATGGCACACCCCCTTGAATATGGTATGTCAATGCATCCATCACCAAGGCAAATAAGAACGGGCTAAGCGCAGAGCCTTGGTGTAATCCCATAACAATCGGGAAATGCTCTGAATTGCCTCCCAAAGTCCTAACCTTAGTCTTAGATCCATGATACATGTCCTTGATTGCTCTTATGTAGGCTACCGGCACGCCCTTTGCCTCAAGACATCTCCAGAGCACCTCCTTAGGGACCTTGTCATACGCTTTCTCCAAGTCAATAAACACCATGTGCAGATCCTTCTTCCTATCCCTGTACTGCTCCACCAACCTCCTAATAAGGTAGATAGCTTCCGTAGTGGAGCGACATGAACCCAAACTGATTGTCGGATATAGACGTCGTCTTCCTCACCCTCACCTCCACCACTCTCTCCCAGACTTTCATGGTATGGCTAAGTAACTTGATATCCCTATAATTGTTACAACACTGGATATCACCTTTGTTCTTGTACAACGGTACCACTGTACTTGACCTCCACTCCTCTGGCATCCTCTTCGTCCTAAAAATTACATTGAACAACCCAGTCAACCACTCCAATCCTGCTCTACCCACACACTTCCAAAACTCAACCGGGATTTCATTTGGCCGGTCGCTCTACCCCTACTCATCTTGCGCAAAGCCCCCACGACCTCCTCCACCTTAATGCTCCTGCAATACCTAAAATCTCTGAGACTCTCCGAATGCCCCAAGTCCCCTAGCGCTATATCCCGGTCCCCCTCCTCGTTCAGAAGACCATAGAAGTACGTCTGTCATCTCTGCTTAATCTGGGACTCTCCCATCAATACTCTACCATCCTTGTCTTTGATGCACCTTACTTGGTCCACATCCCGGGTCTTCCTCTCCCTCGCTTTAGCCAGCCGAAACAACTTCCTGTCCCTGCCTTTCTCCCCCAATTCCTCGTATAGGCGGGGCCAAACGCTGCATTCTTAGCCTCCGTGACCGCCAGCTTTGCCTCCTTCCTTGTTACCTTGTACCTCTCTCTATTCGCTCTCCTTTCCTCCTCGCTTGTGCTCCCTGCCAACTTTGCGTATCCTACCTTCTTCACCTCCACATATTAATGAAACCCCTCAGCAAAGTTGTTGTTTTTTTCAAATTCAAAAAGTTCTTCTTACTTAGAATGGGTCGTCGATTCAACATTAGATAAAGAGGGTAAAATTTCTATTTTTACAATTTATAATAAGCGGTTCAATTTATTTTATCAATATGAGTATCCTATTTAAAATATTTATCTTAAAATCATCTCTACAAACATAGTAGCAGAAAGAGTGTCATTATCTTATGCAGATAATGACAAAACAAACAAAAACGTGCTGGACTTGGTTTGGAAAGACAAAACTGTCTATTCGTAAAATTTATATCAGCATGAACAGCTGTCAAAGCAAGCTCAAAATGAATATGCTGACCCTTTTGGAGTGTAGGATCTGAAATATATTAACATATTAATGAAACCCCTCAGCAAAGTTTTTTTTTTTTTTTTTCCAAATTCAAAAAGCTCTTCTAACTTAGAATGGGTCGTCGATTCAACATTAGATAAAAAGGGTAAAATCTCCATTTTTACAATTTATAATAAACGGTTCAATTTATTTTATCAATATGAGTATTCTATATCGATAAAATATTTATCTTAAAACCATCTCTATAAACATAGTAGCAGAAAGAGTATCATTATGGGTCTAGACTTTAAACAGTTTACTTAAACAAGTTAATAAACTAGTGATGAAAAACAAACTAGCTAGTCCTCTTCTACATTGTATATATTCTTGTATTCTGTTTTATTTCTTGAACCAAGTCTTTTACCCCTTGTTGCCCACGAGACTTTGTTTTAAGTGGAGAGTTGAGATCTTAAGATTCCGCGCGTTCTAATTTCAACTTTGAAACACCATTTATGTTGTATTTACTCTCTTTCTCCACGGATAAGCTTGTCATACTTCAAAATTAATTCATTAATAGTTTATGGATCTGATCATCCTATCGGTAATCGTACAGTCATTGCTTTACTTATAGAAAGGAAAAAAAATGAAGAAAAGAAAAAGAATGAATACTTCTCCTGCTCTACGAGCGAAAAAGCTGTTTCTCATAACCAAAAATATTCTTTCAAAACCATGCTGTTATTTCCTGTCAGGGGAAGTGTGAGTGGAGGTGGTTTAGGAAAGTAATAGAAAACAAACCCAAGCAACATTGAACAGTTAGCCACTCAGCAAATCTTGGTAGCAAGATTTTCTTCAATTTGTTTTAACTGATCATAGAGCAAATCAGACTCATCTTCAAAGGCATCAGGCAGAAGTGACAATACCGGCAAGATAGCAGTTAAATGCTGTCATGAAAATGCACCGCCTACAATATTTTGCATTCCGGCTGAAAATGGTCCCATGCATAAGCGGTTTTCCTCGTACATATCTGATCCATGCATATAACTGCAGAGTTTCGTCCTCTATCTCATCTACTGAATGATAGGCTTACTCGCTATATCGATCAAATATCACAAAAACACGAGTTACTACGCCTCCGACATCATACTCCCAATTCTGGAAAAAGTTGTCCGGACAATGATGCAAAGGCCTTTTAACAGAGTAAATTTTAAACGCTAGCTAAACTGATGAGAAGAATACATCAAGTAAGGCTCATATAAGAGGAAAGTCGATTTCACAAAACCAACAGCTCAAATTCTAGAAAAAGACTGAACTCCGCCATCTCTTTCATTATTTCGTATACCCATCGTTGAGAGCCAATTGCTTTTACAAATACAATTAACACGAGGCAACCCTTGTTCAACAAATTATATGAATATTTTTTAAGAATAAAAATGCCCAAACAAGGAAAACAAAAACTCAGCCAAGCTATTCTACAAAAAGAGTCACTCTACAACAATCTTCGTCCACCCAGGCAAATACTGCCATGCAGCATAATATGAACAGGTTTCTCCATGGCGTTGCTGGCAAAAATCTTTAATCACGTGGGATGAACAGCTCCCCAGATTGATCTGAATCAGATCGTCCGAACTCGTTTCACAAAGGGACTACATGCTAGCATCTAGAGCAAATCCATTAGAGGGGGCTGCTCTGGCTGAGACTTTGCATTACTAGACCCTGATGTTGAGGACCTCAGTTGCCCTTGATTTCCCCTTCCTCTTCCCCTTCCTCTACCAACAGCAGTTGATGGAGGTGGAGCAAGCCTTGGTGCAGTCTGCTCACCCTTGTTCGAGGAAAAAATTGATCCAATATCGTTGGCTCGACCACTAGAAGCATTCATAGCTGATGGCCCTTGACTTTGTTTCATAAATCCAAGAGAATTCTGTGGGTTAAAACCCCCACTAGTGAGACTATCAGTGTGCGATGCAGTTCCTTGATTCTGTTTCAAGGGCCGAGAAGAAATTGGGGTGCTGAAAGCCCAAGAATCAAGGCCATTCGTTTGGGAGTTTAAACCATTCAGAAGAGTTGCACTATTGGCAGACACGGGTCTGTTTGCGAATGGGGCCACTGATCCATTGTTCAAAGAGTGAGAAGCAACCGAGGAGCCACTTGGCCGGGGAGGCCAGTTAGCAAAAGGATCAATATCATCGAGAGTTGAAACCAATGCCCCCTTATTTTCTGGTTGTTTCTCAGAATTCCCAAGGATGGTAGTACCAAGTGATGAAGATTTCGGAGGCCATTCCACATCAACTGCAGGACATGAAGATGAAAGTTGCTGGTTAGATAGAGCAGATGTCATGGACGATTGTGAATGTCCAGCATTAACTTGGATCGACTGATCTGCAGTAGTAGACTGAGCAGGCAATATTGTAGAAGACTGGATGGTGGTTGAAGGTCCCCTTGCAGGAACCCAGTCTTCGTCCCATGATGGGCTGCGTTTTGTAATAGGCTGAGAATTCGCACTTGTTTTATTCACTTGTCTGGGCATCTGACTGTCAACTGTTGGAGATGATTTTATATTTACTGCTAGATTTCCAGAGTCACTCACTGTCACTCCTCGTTTCTCTTCAATTTTCCTGTATCCCAAGAAATTGAAAATAAATAAATAAATAAATAGAGATGATACAAAATTTAAAAATTGATGCACTAGAAAGTTCTCTCAAATGGAAGTCTATAAGCATACATTACAGCATACCATTTCTTAAACATGTAGAACTGCTTTTTCTTTTGTTTTCTCCTTTACTTTTATATTTCTTTTTTTTTTTTTTGTGTATATATGTGTGTGTGTAGAGGGGGGGGAGTCGTAGTGTTGCCGTGTGCCCATGTCAAAAGTTCTCAATTAAGCAAAAGCAAGACTGAAGCCCAAAAGTTTTGCAGTTGGTATCCTACTAATCATGAAACAACTGAAGAGAACAAGAACACACAGGCTACCAGTAGTTTCTTCAATGTTTTTAGCATCTGCAAGTTCCAGAATCCCTCTTTCAAGTGTGTACATGGACATGGGGGGAGGGGGGTGAGTATTAGCGGCTGATCGTAAATTGTAATACCTGAGAATATCCTTCACAAAAGCCATATATTTTGCAAACTGCTGAACATTTAATTGTTGAGCAATGAGAAGCGGCATGAGAAGTGGAAGGACATGCTCTGCCACAAATTCTATCCCATTCTGAGGGAAAAAAAAATTAGGTAAAAGCAAAGCAATAAGTTAGATACTATTGGTGTAAGCACCAGCAATCAAGTTGGCCAAGATAGCATATACCTTCTTCAAGATAGAGTTGGCTACCCCAAGGGTACACATAAGAGTTGGTGCAGAACGATCAACTGCAGTACAACGTTGGATCGTCTGTAAGATCTCTAGAACAGCAGGCTTGTCTAGCGTGTGAACCATATCCCCCAAACATAACAATGCATTGACCCTCACCTGCAAAGAGAAAAAGAATTATCGCGTGTCTATTAATGTTCAACTTGGTCAACCAACCAAAAAGAAGGGCCTAGCTTATCAACAATCAGTTACACTGGAAAACGAACTTATGTATCAAGAAAGAATGATTAGATATGTTCATAAGGTTAAAAACAAATGTGACCGAAAAAATTTAGGGACATTGACGTGCCAAAGCAATTTTCATCCTACTAAAACAAGCAGTCTTTTGCTCTGAAAGGATGAAATTTAAGATGAAAATATCAATTGCCCAATATTCAGGAGTTTGTGATGTTTCAATTCACAGTCACAACTCACAAGACTTTTGAGTAACTCATGCAATAACATTCCTGCACAGAATAATGACTACGTACCGCAGCAACAGTTGTTTTCAGTGCCAAACCATGAACACGAGGCATGATTGCCTGTTTTACTAACTGCAATAAAAAATAAAAAATAAGCATTTTCAAATTCAAATATAAATCAATTCCTAGTCTAATAGCAGTGATACTAGTTCTCCAGAACTTGAGATCATATTCGTTCACATCCAAGCATTAATCTCTCCCCTAACACATATGCAGGTTACATCAATATTTGACAAAGAGAAATAAACCTCATCTGCAGGTTATTCAATGTTTGACAAAGAGAAATATACCTCATTGTGTAACAGGAAACTAGTGTTAAGTGGTCAACTAAAATTAAGCTTACCATACACACATACGAATCAACTGTGAACAATCTTCAAAGGTCGAAGTGACGTTCATTAACTCCACAAATAGAAGACCATGATTTACCCAATAAAGTGTCAATATTTATCTTAAATCTTGATTGGTTAACAAGATAATTCATTCCAAGGAGTTACAATCAGATAAAACCATTTTTATAAAGCTTTTTGTGCAGAATATTGACTTTTAGTGTAATTCTAAACATTTTGTACATAATCAAACCGTGTAATTAACAAAAGGAAAATAGAGCATACTGTGAACTCAAACAGCAACATTATTTTTCAAATTACATAGAACGGTTGAGATGTGAAATCCACTAGCCACAGTTACTCATTTTTTTGTTTTCTTGTTAATCCACTAGCCACATTTATAAAGGTCAGTCACTTTTAATATTACTTTCTACATAAATGGTTAGAGGCCACGAAAAGGCTACACCATTGCAACACTAATCTAAATGATGGTTTAGAACTCAAAATAGATAATACAACCAAATTCTGAACACCTCAGAAGCTAGAGAAGGAATGGTTGCAATTAGTATACTTCCAAACTACAACTTAGATTCCGAAGCTGATAATTCAATAAAAGTTTTTTCTACAACCTTCTTAAAAGGGAGAAGAAATGGCACATACTATCTTCTATAGAGTGCCTCCCACGAGATCACCTAGCAAATGTTCTGGTTTTGATATAACCTCTCCATTTTAGGATTTGTCCTCATACCTTTCTTTTCTATTAACAAAATCACTTATCAAATGAGTATAAACCTAAAGAGAATTCGCAAAGAAAAATCTGGTTCAATTTGAATGAATTGTATCTGCATTTCATATTCTACCACATCATCAATACAAAGAACGTGTAGGTTACAGGCTAGCTACAATGCCATAGCCCAAGATCCAATCTCATTATTTCTTCCCAGTCCTTAAAAATGACATCTTTCTGCCATTGATCTTGACAGAAAGTATTCTCTGCAAGTAGCTCTCAAATTTCCACCCCTATATCAGAAACTGAGTAAACATGTCTCCAAACACACTGCATCCCTCTCACCTATTTTCACTTCATCTTGGCACTCACATGCTTTATCAAGTTAGAGCTGCCTGAAGATCTTCATCAGTGATGAAACTTCATTAAGGAACTTTCATTAGGAGGATCAGATTATACAACATTTTCTCCTTTCCTTTTCTTGGTAAAACCGGTGAACTTGATATAAACGGCCATTAGTTTCAATTGAGCCAACAACTGATGTGACAATTAGAAATAATAAAGGACACCAATTACCTGAACGTCAAGTTGCTTAGCCAGTGGTAGAGTCTTTTTCAGGACTTCCTCTTGCAAACGTGGATCAGTATCATCATAAGCTCGCACAAGCATGGGCAGGACATGTGAGATTAAGTGGTCCTGACTAGCCTACAGATGAAAAGATGCTATAAGAGATAAAGCAATGATAATAAACAAGCACCAAGTATATGTCAACTTGCAAGGATTATCAGAAGGTGGAGAAATTTCCTACAGTATTTCTGGGTCTACCATTGGGGGCAAGACAAAATGGTACATTGATGTGGCAAGAATGAGTAAGCGGTATTTATCTCTTTCAGGGGTGTTGACTTTGGTGAACCATGTGTTTGGATGGTATACCAACATATCTCATGTCTTTGCTTCTAATCCCTACAAATATTGTGAAGCAACTTAACAAAAGATCTGACTTTTATGGGAAGGTGGGAGTGTTAACAGGAGATACCATTTAGCAAAATGCTCGACAGTCATTCAAGATAAAAAGGTTGGAGGCATGGGATGGGAGTCAGAAATCTGAAATTGCACAACAAGAGTTTGCTATATAAATGGCATTGGAGGTGCAACGATGGAATAAAAGGATTGAGGAAGAAGGTAGCAACTGTTAAATATGGGTTGGAATCTTCATGGTGTACTAAGCTGGTGAAGCCATGAAGGAACCTGATGGAGTAGATTTGTGGAGGCAAATAACAACTTGTAGGGATGAATTTAATGCTCATACAAGTCTGAAAATTGGATATGGAAGAATGGTCAGACTTTGGTGGATAAATGGTTGGAAAAATACTCATTTAAGGGATATAAATTTTAGATTTGTATAATTTGGCCACTGATAGAACATGTACTGTAGCAAGCTGCTATTCTAAAGGCAGTTGGAATCTTCTTTTTAGAAGAAAATTAAATGATTGGGAAATTGGAAATGTGAGCAGCTTGCTACAAAAATAAAATGCTGTACTTTTAGTTGAAGGCGAAGAAGATCGCTTATTCTGGGAAGGCAGCAGTGACGGAGTATTTTCAGTTAAGTCCTCCTTTAAATTACTTTAAGACAAGATGATTCAGGGAAACGTGACTGGCCATGGAAGCTTATTTGAAAAACAAGAGCTCCTCTGGAAGTTGCTTGTTTTGGGTGGATTGCAGCAAATGATTCTTGCCTCACTCAAGATAATTTGCAAAGGAGAGTAATCTGTAGTAGATGTAGCATGTTCAGACAGGCGGCGGAATCAGTCAATCATCTTTTTATTCATTGCAATGTTGTTTGGCAGATATGGTGCATGTTTCTAAATCTCTGTGACATTCAATCGGATGATGCCAAGAAATTTAGAGCAGCTGTTCAACTGTTGGCTAGGATAGAAGCCTAACAATAGGTGCAGATAACTATGGAGGTCTATTCCGTTGCGTATAATAATTATATGGGCTATCTGGGTAGACAGGAACAATAGGACTTTCGAAGGGCGAAAGATTGTATTTCCCATATCAAATTTAGATGCATTCAGAATTTGTACTGCTGGAGTAATAGATATTTAGCAAGTGAGTTTGCAGATATTTTGGCTCTTCTGGACTCCTTACAGGCTTAGAAGGAGTAGGGGATCAGACATCTTTGTAGTGATCAGTAGTTCTTGGTACTATTTGAATTAATAAAATTTTACCTTTCATCAAAAAGAAGAAAAAAAACACCAGGTAGGTAAGTATTCAACAAACAAACGAGTAAGAATGAGAAACCAGAAAAGTCTTCTGTTGCCTCGCTTCAAACAAGGCCTAAGTTAAGCTTCCGTCCCTGTCAGCAGTGAAAACCTATAGTATTCCGCTTCTTCATAGACAAGCTTGGTTTTCTTTTCCTTTTTCCTTTTTTTTCCCCTTCCTCTTCTTAGGTTTTAGGAAGCATCGTTATTACAAGTTTGAATATATGTATTGCAATAGTTAAAAAGTGGTCAGGTTAAAAACAATTAAAAGAACAACCAAAAGGTCAGCAGCTACTTTCTTACCTTGTTGATAATAAGATCTGCATGCTTAACTAGTAGCAATAATGTTTCACCTGCTGCGCTGCTTAGGACAGGAACAAGAGCTGGCAGGGTTGACATCTCAAAATCACTTTTATCCTGCAGTGCACCACTCAATCAGTCATACCACACAAAATTGATTGATAATACATGTAGGTAATCACATTGCGACAGCTTATAAAGATCAGTCCTGATAACCCAGAAATATAATGATTAATCCTTGTACTGCTGTACAAATCAATTTTAAAGATTCAATAACAGAAAAGTGAACAATAAGAAACAAACAAATTGACATGAATAAGCAATATTACATACATAACATTGAAGCATGTTCTGGAATACACATTGGTACAAGGAAAAGACAGTACAAGCAAAGATCAAACATTAGGAGATTCTATTATAAGATGAGCTATGGAGACATATAAGCAAAGAGCACATACGCTACAATGTTTCACTAAGGATAATTTACAAGTTTTTACATAAAATTATCGTTGAAGATGTCAAGCTGAGATGGACAGTGCAGTGCAATGAGCTGGGAATGAATCAAAGCTGTTATGTAGTGTATTGTACCAGTTAGTTAGTTAGTTGAGAGAGCTAAGTAAGCTGACATGTACAGAAATATCTAGAAGCTGTGATGCTTTGTGAATGACAATCGAGTAGATTAAATTAGGTCGGTTGGCGAGTTGAGATTATTTTGTATATATAACTCAATCAGTCGAGGTATGTTAGCTCATAGCTGTTATAGGGTCACGCGTTTTTTTCATTTCCAGAATTTAGGCAGCAAAAGTTAGTTTCAATTCTCTCAAGATTTCCTCTCAAATTCATCTACTACATTTCGATTATTGAGAGTGCTTCGATTGTGATAAATAATACACATTGTTTCTATCCATGATAAATTGTTCTAGTCGTTGATAACACACATAACATGCTTCTTTCAGAAAAGTTTCTCGTCGTCATATTTTTCTGCTTCACAGCCTAAATAGCATTCTAAGTCACTAAACATGTCCAGTGATGAACTCGTGCGAGGCCATAGTAATGTTTGCTTCGAAATTGAGACTACAACACCACCACCTTATTAAATGACCCTAAATCTCATACAGATTGCAAGAAGATTAAAGAAATGAGGTTATGCTACATATTTAACCTACACTCAAAACATAATAATACTAATTGGCGGAATTTGGATTTGGATTAAAAAACTAATCAAGCTACGAGCTATACATATCAGATAAACATGGTGACGCAGACAATACCTGAGATTCTGCAATAGTCAGAACCATGGGAAGAATCATGGGTTGCATTACCACATTCCGGAGCTCAGCACATAGCGGAGGAAGAACCTACATCATAATACAAATATGATAAGTTCAACCATTTAGAATTGCAAAGCAATTAACAGAGTACTTGAGCAACAGAAGAGCACATAATTGATTTATCAACTTCTGCGGCAATGAGAGATCACATGTTCTGAACCTTAACTTTTGAGACACCCTCTGGACTACACATTAACATGATAAAAAGCATTATCTACCCCGTGAATAATGTTCCTAACATCGAGGAGTTGGCAGACATTCTATGTTGCAACATAGGTACCTTGCCTACCACTTATCTAGGACTACCATTGGGAGCCAAGTTCAAATCTAATGAAGTTTGGAGTGGTGTGCTGGAAAAGTTTGAGAAAAGGCTTGCAGCATGGCAGATGCAATACCTCTCCATGGGTGGCAGATTAACCCTCATTAACAGTGTCCTAGATAGTCTCCCCACCTACCACATGTCACTGTTCCCAATACCAAGCTCAGTTCTAAAGCAGATGGATAAACTTAGGAGAAAATTCTTATGGGAGGGATGCAGCACCACACATAAGTTCCCACTAGTAAAATGGTCTAAAATAATTCAGCCAAGATATCAAGGAGGCTTGGGTTTTAGAGATTTATATTTGCACAGCAAAGCAATGATATTGAAGTGGCTGTGGATATATGGGCAAGAGGGACCTGGACTCTAGAAGAACATCATTGATGCTAAGTATGGGCAACATAATCACTGGTGTACAAAGAAAATAAGCACTCCTTATGGTTGGCCTTTGGAAGAATATCAGCAAGCACTGGGATGAGTTCTTTCAAAATATAACCTTCAAGGTTGGGAAAGGAGATCATGTTAAATTCTGGAAAGACAAGTGGCACGGAGATAATGCACCAATGGATATATATCCCAATTTATACCAGATTGCACTCAGCAAGGAATCCACTGTTGCTCAGAACAAAGAAAATCGCACATGGTGCCCCTGTTCAGAAGGAACCTACAGGACTGGGAGACCTACTATGTTCAACTCTTTAGAAGGCCACATCAGTGATGACCAGCAGCTGCCAGCCAGACAAACACTCAAGAGGGGCAAATACACAGTCCAAGATGCACAAACATTATTGTTTCCAGAATAATATGACAGATAACTGGCCTTGGAAACATATCTGGAGAACTAAGGTGCCTACCAAGGTGAACTGCTTCACCTGGATAGCTATAAAGGGGGTATGTCCCACTCAAGACAACTTAAGCAAGAGGAACATTATACTTCTTAACAGATGTTACATGTGTCAACAAAATTCAGAAAGTGCCAATCATCTTTTCCTCCATTGTTCAGTTGCAAGTGAAATCGGGACTCTCTTTTTCTCTATTTTTGGTCTGGAATGGGTTATGCCTCAGACAAAAAAGCAAGCATATGAAAGCAGGTGTTTTTGGAGAGTTGACAAAGCCATCAAGAGGATCTGGAGAATTGTTCCAGCAGTAAATGTTTTGGTGTATTTGGACAGAAAGAAATCAGAGGTGTTTTTTTTTTTTTTGAATGGTAACTATTGTATATATTAAAAACATTAGTACATAGGTTGCACTGAAAACCAAATTTACATGAAGAGGATTAGTAGATGTTCTGATTTGAGACCTAGCAAGATCCTAGTATGTCTATGATTGTCAATGTATCTTCTGTGTAAATCTGTTTACACCAAAAACAAAAAAGAAGAATACAATTGAGTTTGATCTTCTGCACTGGATTGCTTCTATCTTCAAAACATCTAGCATTCCTTTCCCTCCAAACTGTCCACCAGATACAAGCCGGGACAGTCCTCCATCTATCTCTACTAGTTGCTTCAGCTCCAGCTTCTTCCCCGCTATAAAGAACATCTTTAAGCCTGTATGGCACTGACCATGAAATACTCCTAAGACTAATAAAGATTTTCCATAGTTGGTCTGTAATCTTGCAATGTAGAAATAAATGGGTGACAATTTCAGCATTTTCCCCACATAGAAAACATCTTGAACACAGAGAAATTCCCCTTTTTATGAGATTATCCTGGGTTAATACCGCCTCCTTTGCTAGTAGCCAAGTGAAGCATGCTACCTTGTATGGAATCTTTGTTTTCAATATATGTTTCCAAGGCCATGGGTCTACCTGTTGATTATTCTGATTCAAAATCTTATATGCATCCTTCACCCGGTAAACCCCTCAGTTGTGCCTCTGCCACCAAAGTGAATCAAACCCTTCCTGTAATCCTTTAAATGCATCCAGCTCTTTAAATCCTTTAAATCCTTCCTGTAATCAGAGGTGTTTTGATGGCATCTCAACTCCAACCTACTCCCTCGAGACTATTCTGGATTTATCTTTCCCCTGTAACTAGTACAGATCACTTTGTGGATTTCATTAGCTCCCTGTTCTTAGCATAGATTTTTGCTATCTACCTTTTTGTACTTTTTGCATCTTGTTGATGCCTATTAATGAATCACTCTTGCTTCATCAAAAAAAAAAGTGATTTATCAAATAAAAAATGACTTATAAACAGGGATGACCTCCAAACCTTATAACGCAGTACACGGGAGTCAAAATCTTTCCACATGTCAGACAATGCCTTTAAAAACTCAGACTTCTGCATGTTATCTCTTTCCTACAAAATGAGAAGTGTTCCTATCAATACCGAGCTTCAAATCATTTTGTAACATTGTACTGTTGCTAAACATTATAGCATATATTCCTGCAAGCATGCTTAAGCTAAAATATGAATCCATACAAGCATGTGATCCAGGAAGCGAAGAGCACGCAACCTAGTGTCGTCGCGGAAAAAAGATGAACCTGTAGAGAAAAGAAATAATTTTTAGATGAAATTTAAGTTCTTGAAGCATAAGCTCATTCAAGTACGTAGATGAATAGCTATATAAACAGAAGGACTGTGAAACTACACTTCTCAACCACATCTGTCTTCTAAGATCAATAACACTTCTAAGACTTCAACCCCCTTTTGGTTCCACTGTATTAATGAACTGTACATTAATTCAAATTGATCATTAAAAGTTTAGAGATAAACAATCTTTATCCAAGAAAAAAAAAGTTTAGATATAAACAACCCCCTTTATGCAATCTATTCACAATATTTCAACATGATAAACGGTATAGATGTGAACTGATGAAGACTAACATGATCATATTCCACTTTGCGACATGCTTCCAGAAAACTACGCAAAGACAACAAGGAACACAACAGAAAAACAAGGAAACTGATACAACAAATAAAAACTATTTTCTGAATTATCAAGGTTTTCCGACTGTGGTTCCTATAATTATCTTTTTCTCTCCTTCTTCTTTTGTCCTGTTTTAATTGATAAGTGGGCCCTGAATCAATATATTTTACAAAGAAAAAATAAAACCAACAAGAAAGATAAAGAGAATGGATTGGTAACAGTGTATACACCTCACGAGAAATAAAAGAAATGATAATACTTACTTGTAAAACCCATGGCAGTTGGTCTCAGAGCCTCAGTTGCAGAAAGCATGTTCTGCAAGTCCGGAACTAGTTCTTGTGGAATAGACGAGAAAGCTTCGCTGGATAAGTAATTCAAATTATTCATGTACTGCAAGAAAGTTGTACAAGGACCACTATTATCAAAAGAAACCTAAAATAAGAGTAACAACAATTCCAAAGTCGTGTTTCATTAAATATTCATCTGAGACAAGAATAGATCTCAAAGAGAATACATTAGATATGCAACAAGGTATCATATTTAACTTTCGTGACTGTCAAATATCGTCAATTTTGGTACAAAAGATGTTCACTCCATAAAAATGTCTTGGTCGAGTTACAACTGTTGCTAGTTAGGGTTGAAAGGATGATCGCAGAAACTTAAGCTCACAAGTTATTCAACACCGATAACTTCACCATACTTTCTCCCAAGAGAATATACAAATTCATCAGCAGCTTAAAACATACATAAGAACACACCTACTTTGTTCGGCCTAGATCACTAAGTCAATTTATTACAAAATAGCAAGATAAATTCAGACATATACCTTGATGCTACATGTAAAGTTTTAGAATGCGATCAGTGTGACATTTATACTTCAAGTACTTTCCACGGCAAAGCCCAATGTTATAGCACAAATGAATATGACAAAGACTACGAACATAAGATTGAACGAGCTAAACTTCTTCCCTCTCCTCACTACTTGCCAAAACCCAACTTGTCCCTTCTTCCTTATGTTGTAGTAAAGCCTCAATCGCGGTGAACCAGAAAACTAGAATTTGTGGTACAACATATTCATTATGTGGATCATCAAAAGCAGACCCCAATAATCTATGTAAATGATCACAGCTGAGTTAGTCACCTTAGAGCAGAAACATAGTGTGGATTAAATAAAGACCTTCAAAACTTGCACATGCAGAAAGCTCTTTTAAGACAGATATAATGAGTAGGTTCACCCAGAAGGCCCTACTTGTATAGACGATTGGGTGGCTTTTGTAGAGGTCATTTTTTTGTTACTGCTTGTATATGGGGTTTTCTCCAACATCAATAATATTATTTAGCTTATCAGAGAAGAAAGGTATAATGAAATCTACTATGAACAACAACAAAAAAGAATTGTTCTACTATGAACAACCTAGCAATACTATCAGGACGCTGCATGCAGTTTCCAGTCATTACTTTACAGAAAGCAACTACATTTGCAAGTACCATTTTCACATTGTTGTGGCAGTCCAACAAAGGCTTCCGAGCAATCAAGTGGTACGCAAGGCACCCAAAACTGAATATATCAGAGGAGCACCCAACCGAAGATGTCTTACTTCGAACCAGCTCTGGTGCAGTGTAGTTCAGTGATGGCTGAAGTGGTATAATCAAATCTTCAACATCATATTCCTGAAAATTCATCAGATAATAAAGCTAGTTTTAGCAACTATCACCTCCAGACCAAAATATCTAATAGATAAAAAAAACTTGTTTAATACAGGAATTTTACATGTAATGAATAATAGAAGTCATCATCAGCTAGATAAGTTATTTCTTATTCACATTCTCTATCAAAATAAAAATATTCTTTATTCCCATAGAGAGAGAATTAATGTGCTTGAACTTTCTTCCTCACAAGCACGAGCTATCGCTTTCGGATTGGCGAAATTCACTCTTAAGAATTTCTGGAATTTGGCGGATTGAATTGCTGTCCATTGCTATCGAGTTGCTCTCGTTTGGTCACCGGTTTGTTGCTGTTATGTTGCCGGATCTCCTCGCCTATTTCAGAAGCTTGCTTGTTGTTTTTCTTCAGTTAATTTCGGCTGCTAGTTACTTTCGGTGCTACACCAGTGGTAGCGGTGATAGCCCTTGTTGGTCTTTGGGTCGTGGTATTTTCTGTGTTTTCAGGGAAATTCTCAAAGTGGTTGGAGACAAGTTGGGCACACGAGCACTAGCAAAGGAGAGCAACCTGGACGAGCATCAGCAAAGGGCGGTGGGAAGCATTGCGTGAGCTTGCAAGTATATCGAGGGCTGCAAATCAACACAGGTTTAGTTCTCGGGAATTGGTACCTCCCGTTCTACTGTTTTCCTTTTGGTGTTAGCTAAATTGATGTTACTTTAGTTCACAATAGTTGAATCATTCAATAGGTGTACAGGTAGTCACTTCTTTCCTTCTAGTTTGATTCGTTGTCCGTGGTGCACTAGCGAGTCTTTTGTAGAGTTGTCGTAGGTGTAGTGGCGGCAGTCTGGGATGATAGATTAAAGGCATGTCCTCAGGTGGGGCAGAGGGAGGGGCAAAGAGTGGGCTCGGGGTCAGGGGGTGGGTCGGGAGGTAGGGGAGGTAGAGTGGGCAAGGGAGCCTATAGGTTGAGAATCGGGTCATGGAACATAGGTTCGCTAACGAGTAAGTCTATAGAGTTGGCGAAGATCCTTCAGAAGAGGAAGATTAATATAGCGTGTGTCCAGGAGACTAGGTGGGTCGGATCGAGGGCGAGAAACGCGGATGGGTATAAGTTGTGGTACTCTGGAGTCGTGAGGGGTAAAAACGGAGTGGGTATCCTAGTAGATAGCCATCTTAGGGAGTCGGTGGTAGAGGTCAGGCGTGTGAAT